ATTACCAAAACCTAGGAAAAAAAACACCCTAAGAACTTAAAAACAAGTCCGAAACCCCAAAGCATGACAGTGACAGTGACACAAATCAGACGTTTGGCTGGTCACAGTTCTCCAGGGCCACCCTGGGCTCCCCCTGGAACTGGAACGTGGAGAGGTGAACGGCCCTAGGCTCCTTCTTGGATGTGGAAAGGCGAACCACCCGGGGCTCTTTCATGGAGATGGACAGGTAAGCCACTCTGGTTACCTTTTGAAGGTAGAGAGAAAAGCCACACTGGGCTCCCTGGTAGACATGAAAAGACACCTGGTGAACATGGTCATCATGGAAAGGTGAGTCACCCTGTGCTCCTTCTTGGACATTTAGTGGTGAGTCAGCCTGGACTGCCTCTGGAACAGAAACATGGAGAGGTGAGCCACCTTGGACTTACTCTAGAATATTGAACACAGGAAACTGGCCCCGGCCTGCTGCAATGTTGGTGGTATGGGAACTGGCAGCAGAACGGGCTTCGGTTTCTCTTGGCTGTCGACTAGAGGTGGTGTTTTGACAGCCAGTTGCGCTACTGCACTGGGAGGCAGTGCAGTGACAGCCTGCTGAGGCTCAACTCTGTAGTCTGGTCCATACCCGGCTGGGCCAGCTGGGCCAGCTGGCTTCTGTTCCAGCCAAGCAGCAGGAACAGTAGGCTGAGGGCTGGAGGTTGCTGACCTCAGAGCCAAATCTTGAGGCTTTCTGTCACTACCAGGAAAGATGTCTCTACAGTCACAGAAGGTTTAGGAAGAAACAATGTTTTGAGAGCTTGACCTAATAGTCACAGTTATGTCTGATCCATTATCTTCTCTAACCTAATAAAAAGCACATTAAGAGTAGGTCTACATGTGTGAAGTGAATCTTATTTGAACAAATGCATTTGTAATAAATTAAAAACTTTCTTCAACATATCAAGAATAACGATCTCCCCCCCAGAGTTATTAGTGTAGGGAGGTTTAGACTTGGATGGCAGGGAGACAGAGGAGGCTGGTGGCAAGGATTGTGTGGAGGTAGGCAAAGAGGACAATGAGGACTCCAATTCTTAATCCTTGTGTTTATCTTTGGGAGCGCCAATTTATTTCCAAGACCTTTCCTCAGTAGTTTGCATATATGAATGAGAGGAGCCAAGACTTGAGTGGAAAAAAGTCAATGATCTTAACAGTGAGCCTTGGCTTGGTGGATAGTTGAACTATCTTAAGGTTCCACCAATGCCCACAGATCCATGGCTGCTTAAATATTTCTGCTGCTGGGGTTAGGGCATCCAAATGTCCAGGATAAGGAAGGAAAAGAGGAACCAAGGAAATAAAGACGGATTGAATAATATTTATCAGAGAGAAGATTCATGAAATCCTCCCGACTCTTATCACTAAGCTATTCGAGTCCAGCAGCTTTAGATATATCTTTAGAACTTGGTTTGTATGTAGGCTGTTTCTGCCCAGTCAATCTCTTTAAGCTAACAACAACAACAGCTTTTTCTAAATAATCAACCTGTTTTTTAGACCCAGTCCATACCAGACACTTCAAGGAATATATGTTGCAAAATTGATTTGATCACTCTGTCTCTGTTGGGAGGCTATGTACCACAGATATTCGAGGTCAATGTAATCAAACCTTTCTTGTTTAAAGAGTTTCAGTTAGGATTCAAAGGAGATCATGGCACATAAATTGCACTTGTGAAAGCAACCAATGATTTCCTCTAGCCTCTGATAGAGACCTTGTGTTTGCCCTGTTGGATCTAGTGCAGCCTTTTAAACTTCGATTACAGCCTTCCATTACATTGATAAGTTCCAGTTTCCCCACCATGTACATGAAACATCTTCGCCCCCACAGCAGAGTAAGTCTTTGAGTTCCTGTTCTGTGACCAACTCTTTGCCCTTTATACCTGCTTCCATTATATAGCATTTATTAGACAAGGTAGAAAGTTCAATTTGAATGCTGATACTAAGTTACACACTCCTATGAAACCAGAATGATGTAGAAAAATGTGTTGCTTCAGGATTGGACAAGTCTTATTCTTTATCATTGGGCTTTCCAAAAAACAAAACAAATCCTATTTCTCCCATTTTAGATTTTCTTCATTGGCTCCCTGCTAAATTTAGAATAGAATTTAAAAATCTGTTTCCCACATATGACGTAAATGCAACCATTTGGTTTCCTTAACTAAGCCACTTGTTCCATTTTATTGGCTCTGTATAAGTGTGACTGGGGTCGCATGGTTAGAATAATTGTCATACACTTTTAGACTAATCTAAAGTTTCTCCCTTTTACTGTTCAAAATAAAGCATGTGTAGTTAAATAATGACACTAAATTGGATTTTATTTTGCATGGTTGTTCATCTGATCCTATGATGATCCTATGATAGAGTAATGACCTGTCTTTGGTGTCACTCTGGCAGTGGCATTTGGGATAGGGTCCAGCCACCTCCCAGAGCCTATGTTGGAATAAAGTGGGTAAGGAAAGTGGATAGTTGCTTAAACTGGATTTGACGTACAATTAATGTGTTTCTAATTAGTTGGAATTTGACTATATCTATGAATTGCTTAAAATGATATTTGTTGGGATTTGGTGCCTTATGAATAAAACTGAGTTGACGTTGAAACGTGCACTCTGGAGCTTCATTTAGCTGTATGTAAGCTAAAAAATAGCCCACAACCTGGTCATGTATCATCCATCCATCCATTATCAATGCCGCTTATTCCCTGATGGGGTCGCGGGGGGAACTGGAACCCAGTGGTCAACGGGTGAGAGGCAGGTACCCTGGACGGTCCGCCAGTCCATCGCAGGGCCACACACAGGACATACAAGGACAAACAACCACTCACACTCACATTCACTCCTAAGGGCAATTTCTCCAATCTCCAATCAGCCTAACATGCAGGTTTTTGGACTGTGGGAGGAAGCCGGAGAACCCGGAGAGAACCCACGCAGACACAGGGAGAACATGCAAACTCCACCCAGAAAGGTCCTGGGTCCCCCGGGATTCGAACCCAGAACCCTCTTGCTGGGAGGCGACAGTGCTAACCACCACATCACCGTGCCGCCCTGGTCATGTATCAATCAAAGTTATATTATCATTTGTAATCTTCATTCTTCCAGACACTGGTGTGTTGATTTCACTGAAATACATTGTTGGTGTACCCTCAGGCATTCATCTCAATAGTAACAGCCAGAATTCTCAAGACCTACCAGTCCAAGGGCGATTTAAGCAGAATGGGAGAAGCAGGGTTTGAATGAAGAGGTCTACCACCCAATCCAAAGAGCAGCCTTCCTTTACAGGCAACTTTGTGACACAAGCACAGATGCCTTACCAGCCCTGCTTATATTTTCATTTTGAGGTGCTAAATTTAACTGAGAGGGCATATCCTATCCTATGCTGAACATGGCACAGCACATGGCAAAACTATCTCTTATCTTCCAGACTTCCAAATCTAAGACTGCTTTGTTCTCCAACTCAATTAAACTTCCCCACAACCACATGTTGCAACAACTTAAGCTGAAGTGTTTTTCTGTGTTAAAGAGATTCAAGACACCCATGCAAAATACAGCAAGTCAGTAACATCTCAAAGTATTGGCCTTTCTTTCTAAGGCGAACCTGATCAAGATCATGCCTGACTTCGAAATGATAATTTATCACTTTACTGCTCTGAAAGAGAAACAAGCTAAATTTCAATAGAGGCACTGTGGTAAAGGAACATAATTATCTATCATACTTACACAAAGATTTACTGTTACATGTTGTCCTAAACGCAATACGTTAAACAGAGTTCATATTTGTTTATAGCAACTGCATAGGAAGTTCGAAATAATATTCTTCACTCTCTTTATCAGCACTTCACAAAACTGAATGGAAAGAAGAAAATACATACAAGAATCTAGGTTGGTCTGGATTTGGCAGGGGTCAGGAATTTTTGCACTGTAACCTTCTTCAAATATGATCAGTGCACGCAGGATCTCAGCTTTTTTCTTTTTCTTTCTTGATATGTGAAGCCCACATGCCCTGACTATATTGACAACCTGAAATTCGCTAATTCTGCTGATACTCAGGGTGCAGTTCAGTTTAAAAGTAAGGCAGGGTCCTGAAAATATTTATATGTGTGAAGAACTGTGCTGATTTCAGAGACGGAAAATCCAATTAGGCATTGTTTTAACTTGTCCAAAGCTGTTCTTTTAGCTTCTGCCTTTCATAAGACAGTTTCCAGTGTCAACTTGTCAGGCATGTTTGACTAAGAAAATAAGATATGAACACTGACTAGGACAAATGATCATCCAACTATTAAAGATATGCTATTACTGCTATTATAAATATTTCATATCCTTTACCAGCATCTTATTACAGTATTTTAATTTCACATGTGGAAGAAATATCTCATGAATGTAAAAAATCTTAAAGGAAAATAAAAAAGAAATAAATTAATTGTAGCCTACTACAAAAATGTTTTCACAATTATACCATTATCTTTAGATACTTTATTCTTTTAATTAGGTCTTGGATTGTTTTTTTGTTACAGCCCCATCATTTCATATTGCTCCAGTCAGCCTCTTCATGTAAGGGATGCTGTGCACATATAACACAAAACGAGAGAGGGATATATATGCTCATTGGACTAACAAAATTAACAAGAGTATTCCAAAAAGTGAGGAGTGAGGGTGATCATACTACTGATTCAAAGTGCCAAAACACTTTGTGTATATTATTTTCATAGGGGTATGTATAGGTATACAATTCTGTATACAATGAATACTGTCAATAAATCATTCAATATTTTTTTAATTCTATTTTCCCCTGATATATCATTGGTAAAGGCTTTCTCTGTCCTATGTTACAATGCATTTGAAGGTGACTGATTGATTTAACATATTCTGTTGGTACCCAAATTCATTTTCTTCTGTCCCATAGGAAATATATGTCTACGGTGTGTTCTTTATGTTGCTAAAGGGGAACGCTTGGTGCGAGTTGGCTGACAGGCGTGGGGTTACTTAGAACAACTATCTAAGTCGAACAGGATATCCGGTTTTACCGGATAACCAAACAGATATGGCCTCCCAGCTCCAACACATTAGCAGCTAGATTTATCACTCATAAACATTGTGTTGTAATGGTGGAACCGTCCAGCCTACGATGCACAATTCTGTGCTGTAAGTGGGAACTCTTGTAATCTCCATGAGGACCGAGCCGTCCCATTAGCTTCTCGCGTACCACCTTTGCAGGACAGCAGTGTACCATCCAGCCCAGCTTCCGACTGGCTCGCGGTGTGGACATTCGCCGGAAACCAGGCCGGGGGCGAGTAGGCTACATCTTTTACTTTTATGAAAGCTCTGAACCTGGGTATCCAATTGTTTTAAATGCCAGAAGAAGGCCCCAGGATGAACGGCTTCTCTTTCAGTGAGCTCTGCTGGTTGTTCTGTTGTCCGCCCTGTCCGAGTCGCATCGCGGCTAAACTAGCCTTCCTCCCCCCGGAGCCTACGTACTCTGTGCACACCGATGCCAACGGGATAAGCAACCTGCATTTAACGGAGCGGGCGGATTGGCAGTACACCCAGCGTGAGCTCGATGCAGTGGAGGTGCTGAGCACCAGGAGCAGCCGGGGGAACCGGATCGGATGCATGTTTGTGCGCTGTGCTCCCAGCAGCCGCTACACGCTGCTGTTCTCTCACGGAAACGCAGTGGACCTGGGTCAGATGTGCAGCTTCTACATCGGCCTTGGTTCCAGGATAAACTGCAACGTGTTTTCCTACGATTACTCAGGCTACGGAGTCAGCAGCGGGAAGCCGTCAGAAAAGAACTTGTATGCGGATATCGAGGCGGCCTGGCAGGTCCTGAAGAATAAGTAAGTGTCTGTCTGCGGATTAGCAGCTTAAGAGGTTTTGCATTTTGGAGTGTTTGTGTTGTCAGTTCATCCTCACCCTAGGTACCTGATACCCGGATATGTCCCTCCCAACAGCTAACATCTCCTCATAGTAAAGCTGTGCTGTGCTCAAACAGCAGGGTTGAAACCTCAGAGCCCACACTGATGGCTTGGGTCTGTCCTGGTTTTGTCCTGGTCTGTGAAAGGTCTGACTGACTCTGGAGAACTAAAACACTCTAGCATTATCACTAATTTAAAGTCATGGCCATTGTTATGTGCATGCTGATGACCTGTAGACTGCATAGACACACCTTACTGACAGAGAGGAGCCATGAAAAGTCTAATCAGAGGTTCAGCAGAGCTTCAAACTGAGCTGTACTACTTGAATCTCTTTCAAAGCTCAGAGTAGTGCTTCTCTATTCTTGGATCCAGTTCCAGACAACAGATTAGCACTGGTACCTGCTAATGTGACCGCAAGAGGGTTTCTCTTGAATGACCAAAGCAAACACAGCCTTGAGTGGAGGGAGAATATGGTTGATGCTTGGAGGCATGTTTCTGTGTAACGGATTACTTTTAGGATATGCCAAAACCTGTGTGGAACCCATCTTACATAAGTGTGTTGTGTCTGTTGATGAGGTTCAATTTGGCCACCTTGGAGATCTTACAGTGGGCAGCCTGTGATGGGCTGATTATCTGAGCACAGTGCCCCTCTGCACCTGTATGCCTGAACAGTATGGGTTGAGGGGGGGGCTGTACCATGGATGGACCTTAGCTGTCCCTCAGCTTGAATACAAGTGCACTCCTATTGCTGTTTGAGACAGGCAATAGCTCAGCGTTCCTCTAAAATAATTAAAAGCTCAGATTGTCTTATTCCTCAATTTGAGACATTTCACACAATATCCTTATTTTCCACTTACAAACTTGTTTTTTTGAGCCAGATTTACAAATGGGTTCTAGACACTATGAATTGAAACGGAGTTGAGAACCTTCTTGTGATCAGAACCCTGGGAACACATATGTGTTCAGATGCTGACCCAGTGTGATTCAGAATGACCTGGATGCTGCATCCGTCACCCACCCTTGTTTGCTGGAACACGTACAGGCCAGTAGCTGTATGTGCTCCCTCTGCTTTTTATCGGCTCTGTCAGAAAATGGGAAGGCTTCCTTTTCAGAAAGAGCAGCCTCAGGGGGTTTACAGATGCAGTAAAAAACAGATATGGGCTGTAGGAAAATTTGGTCAGAAAAATTAATTTTGGTCCTTGAGTTAATCTCAGATGGAAAAGTTCTGGAATTGCATCTGACACTTATTCTCCTCAGCATTTGATATTAGTGTATTCAGCTATGAAAACGACCACTCAATCAGCAGGACAGAGAGTCTCAGATCTGTGCAGACTCTCTTTCACACACACGTACACACAAAACATGTGTCAAAACAGGGTTCAAGAATTTATTGTTTTACGTGCTCATTCTTATTACATGTCTTTGCTTTGAAGGTATGGTGTAACCCCAGATAACATCATCCTGTATGGTCAGAGCATTGGCACTGTGCCCACCATCGACCTGGCTGCTCGCTATGAATGTGCTGCTGTCATCCTGCACTCTCCTCTGATGTCGGGACTGCGGGTGGCCTTCCCTGACACCCGTAAAACCTACTGCTTTGACGCCTTCCCCAGGTGAGCACCTATGTGCACATTACAGACATTACATCTGACATAACCGTGCACCCCTGTGCCGTGTTTACCCTCAAAGTGTCCCGTTACAACAAAGTTAGGCTTTTATTTAAGAGGCTGTGCAAAGTCATTTTAGGAATAGCGCATTCAAGATGAATTTTTAGTAACAAGAATTCCTTATCACGTCAGTAACTCCTCTTAGCCCTCAAATATGCAGTTCAATTCCAACTACTCCTCAGGCATTCTAAACAGTTTCTTCTCTAAAGAAACCAGGAAATTTCTCCAAAATTAAACTGTGTACCAATTCCCTTCCTGAACCTGAACCAGGAAGAAACATTTATCAGAATTACAACTACCAAAACTTCCATTAGATTAATGAAGCCTCCATAAGAAAAAGTAATAGACATGCATCATGTACAAATGTTTCCCCGGACCGCTTGGGATTTTAAAGGACAAGGAGGGGACAACAAACGGCAATATACCCGGCTCAGGATACCTGCTGAGAAAAGGAAACACAAGTGCATAACAACAATAATGTCACATTTACATGGAGTAGAAGGAGAGCAGAGGAAAAAATGGTTGCATCATTGGAGTTCCCCCAGGACAGAGCAGTCCTGTCGAAGCTCCTCTGGTTTAGCTGGTTGAAATCAGAAATGTGAATACTGTACCCACTAAGCCTGACCACGAAAAATATATATTCATAAACATTGTCTTAAACAAAAAGGACTAGAATCTGTCGCGGAATGTTAGCACTTTATGCCATTCTACATCAGCAAAATTAATTTCCTTTTGAGAGAAGTTCAGTTTAGTCATATTTAGTTAGTATGCCCTAGGGCCTTTGTCCACTAGCATTTACTCAGTGTGACTTCAGTAGCTTTTTTGCATCAGGGGCTGACACTATCAGTTACAGTTTTAACACCTTCGCGGCCAGGTTCCATGCAGGCTGAGTCGAGCCAACAACAGACTGCAGGCTGCTGATTGGCCGGGAAGTGACATGACTACGAGTCATGACAGCGATTCCTTCAGGAAAAAACCTGCTAATGAAAAAGAAAAAACGGCAGTAGAGGGACCATGTAATCTTATATTTTCTCTGATCATCAATGGGGTAAATGACTACATTCAGGCCAATGCCTTGGTCCTACAGCATGGCTCGGCAGATATAGTATCACTTCTATGTCCTTCATTGTTGTGTTTGTGTTGCATACCAGCATACAGCTTAATGCAGTCAGAGCAGCTCTGTGTTCTTTAATGTATCTTCTTCCAAACAGGAACGCTGAAAACATGATTTCAGGGCTCTTTTAACAAAGTGCTGGGAAGCATCTGAAATGGGGGCAACCCCAGCCTGAGCAGAGGCAGATCCCTGCTTCCTAACTTTATGTGTCTCCCCTGCAGTATTGACAAGGTCTCCAAGGTGTCGTCCCCTGTGCTGGTCATCCATGGAACAGAAGACGAGGTGATAGACTTCTCCCATGGCCTGGCCATGTATGAGCGCTGCCCACGTGCTGTGGAGCCTCTGTGGGTTGAAGGAGCTGGTCACAATGACATCGAACTATATACCCAGTACTTGGAGAGACTCAAGCAGTTTATCACGTTTGAGCTGCCGGCCTCCTGAGCGGGGCTCAGCACTCAGTTCATCTCAACACTCTGAAGAAGCCTCTTCCTCATGGCCTGTCTGCGTTTAGAGTCGGGGCACAGCAAGCCAGGTTCGGGGAGGGGGCGGAGCATGTGGCTCCTTAAAGAGGAGAAGCTTTGACATTGTTGAGGTGCATCTGAAGGTTGGGCAAGTCCCAGCCCAAGCGTTCAGTACAGGTCGAACATATTGAAACCTGGCTGGTGCTGCTCCATGTGACCCTGGTTTTGCCAACGTTTTTTCTGCTGCTCCATGTGAGCATTACTCCATCACTTCAGTCGGATATAGGGAATGATGACTCGTGGATCATTTTTTTACGCTTTTAACAAGTATTTGATTGCTCCCATTTTTAGTAACTGTAAGGATCGATGGGGCCTCTGCACACATAACGTGCAGCTATTTCAGACATTCCACTTTTTATTGAGGGTCATGGTTTGTTTGTGTGTATGTGTGAGTGCGCGCGCGCACGTCTGTGAGAGAGGCGCTGGACCTGTCTCTCTGTGACACTCATTCACCTGTGGTGAGACACTAGCTGCTCATGAATAGGAGGGCTGCATGCTTGGCTCTCTCTGTGCTTATTGAAATCAAAGTTCAGCCCTTGTCACAGGCTGAGGTACCTCACTGAGGAGTTTAAGGCCACACATCCAACACATCAGTGCTGAAGAAGAGACTGCCCCCTCCCCCACAACAGAGGGGTTAGTGCTGTCCCTCTTTAAAGCTGATCTGATCAAATGTTGCACGTAAAGCACCTCCTTTGTCTCTAAAAGCAGATTTATAACAGTGAAGGACAAAGCTGCTGAGCTTTGCTTTATAATAAGAACAGGAAAACGTGTGACGGAGGAGATGCTGCTGTACTTTGACACTAAAATGAAGCCTTATTTTGTTCATGTTTGAGCTAAACTTCCTGGTACACTACAGAGTGTTTCATCACTGCTGCTATCTTCCCGAAGTAGAAGTCTGTCTCTGTGGAATCATGAGGGCAGTGTCCAGAGTCCTCCCTCTCAATGTCTTACTGCTGCTTCAGGCTCCAAACACATCACACAGCCTCACGTGGGATGTTGTGCAAAGGAGCAACACAATGCAGCTCACCTCATAATTGTAGACATTTCAGCTTGCATAATTTCATTTCAATGTCATTCTTTGCTTGTTATGCAAAGAAAGTTGAGGTAAAAAAGATATTGAGGAGAACTTTAAGGATAACCTGGTCCAAGTGCTGCTGCAATTTTTGGGTCAGTGTTTTATCATTGCTAATATTGGCCATATGCTTTTAGATTAAATACATTCTTGTCCATTGTGGTTATAAATTCTGAAGGTTATGAAGATTGTGCTGTGATTGTTGTTTTTCCACTGACATTTTTACATGTTGGCAGAAAGTACTTGCTCTATATCTGTAAGGCCATACGTCAGTGTCTATGCATATGTTAGCCCCCACACAGGGGAATCCCATTTCATTGACTTTACACTGGATTTCCAATATGCAAATAAAGCTAGTAGAAGCATATAGCAATGAGAAATGCCTTAAAAGCTGTGAAACTGATTTCTCAGACATTAATCTGTTGCTACAAGATACAAATGGAAGTTTTAATGTTTTTATTTGAATAAAGGATGCATGGACATGTGTTTCTTCATTGTCTATACTCATTTTGGAGGCTTGCTCAATCATTGGGCAACAGGCTGCGTACACTCTGGATGGCACCAAAATTCCCACAAACTCTGGATGGTAGACATTTTGTCCCTTGTAGAAATATTGGTCTGCTCAAGGGGTGATCCAGAAGACACATTGGTCTGCTTGAAGGTTGTCTGTCACATTGTGCTGTAAAATATATTATCCCGTGCCTGTCCCAGAAGTTGTGTGTTGCTGGTCTCCTTACAGATTAGGGAGAAGCATAATCATTGTCTCAGTAATGAACATCTTTAGGCTGGTGATCCTGTGGCATAACATGGGCCTCTGTGGTCTGAACAGAGTTGGAGAGATAGGGACAGACTACCCACACACCCCATCCACTTCAGCTGATGCGGTGAAGGAAGAGTCCAAAATACCACATGCTTCAGTGTAACAGCACTGAATGGAGCCTTTAGGCATGGAATAGAAATTGATGTAATCTGATGGCTCGTTGAAAAATAAAGACATCTAATTGAAAAGGTAGTCTTATCTAAAAGACAGGTTTAAGCTCCATATAAAGTAGAATTAAGGAAGTCTCTTGTAATTTGAGTCAATGATACACAATTGGAGGGGTTGGATGTGGAACTTTCTCTTCCCCGTGGTGTTACTAGATCCCATAATGACATTTAAAAAATTCAACTGTGACAATTAGCAAAAATCCGACACGCTGTGTCTGCCTACAGTACACCGGATAACGGAAATGACATAAGCCAAGTCTGCTCCCTGTCTGCTTGGCTGAGACGTCCTTTCCCCTGAGACGCGTTTTGGGCAATCAAGCTGAAGAAATATATATTTGTATCCCCACACGCGCGAGACGACAGGCTTGGGCGGGTGTGTCCTCATTCCTGACAGGGCGGCGCAGACGCGCGTTCAGCTGACAGGGACCGCCGCTGGCGCACAGACTGATCAGATAGGACTGCAGGTCTGTAGGTACACGTGGGCTCACCGTGGCTGTATTGTGAGTGTTCGAGCTGTGCAGCTTCAGAAATATTTTGCTGCAAGCCACAGGTGCGCTGGAACCAGACCCGTCTCGGCTGTGTGGGGTTTGCGCGCTTGCAGCCCAGCTGCTGAGGGTGCACGACCTCCCCATACGTGCTTCGCGGAGTACCGAGGCTTTCGGAACCGAATCTGCCGTTTGGATACACTGCCGTGGAGGCGGTCCCGGTGAAAGGTAAGGGTCCAATACAAACGAATATGGGATGGTCCACATCTGGAAGCAAAGCAGCTCGCAGGGGGCACCGGTCTGGGGAACCAGCTGCTGCCACATCACCGCTCAGCTGGACACCACGTCCACATCTGGGCAGTAGCCAAGCTAAAATTACTTATCTGCGAGAGTCCAAGGTCTAGCGGCTTTTTTTTGGCAGATTCTTCTGTCCCTGTGCGGTCCTGTCACGGCCCGCTCTCCTGCCTGCGGTGCAGACGCCTCGTGCCCTCTGAGATGAAGCCTTTTCATATTCTTATTTTGCGTTTTTAAGTGGACTCACGCCTCAAACAGAAAAATATCCCCATATTAGTGTCAGCTTTGGAACACTACTTATGTTCCATTTCTGTGCAGCTGTTCACAGATGTTGTGGAAATGCTGGTAAGGTGGGTGTGCATGTTTTTCTTTGTGTGCTGGGCACTCAGAGCAGATGGAAAAAAAAGAATTGCTCATAGTGACATGTAAACACTTGATGTCAAAGTATACTTTCCATTTGGTTTCCTGATGTTGTTAGAAACAGTTACCTGCCTTATCTTCAGCATGTGTGTGTCTGCTCTCTCATATCTCCATCCGCTTTCTCTGGTATATCTGGAAGCTGAGATGGCATTTGTGCATCTTTTATTGATTTAGTTGACTGAGCAATCTTTCTGTCCTCTGAAACCGCTGACATGATCCAAATCATGTTAAAATGATGTAACAAAATAAAACTCGAAGATAGTGTTGATCCTGTTAATATGTTTTGATAGCCTGTGTCATGCTTATAATGGCTACGAAACTGTGCGTTTCTGTGTGATTGTCCATTGTGAAACTGTGCGTTTTAACATAGACTATGATCTTTTCCATCCCTTACTCAGTGGTTTAATAGATAATTAATAAAACATAACAAATGCAATGGGGAAAAAAAGATAAACAACTGATAGAAAAGAAACAAAAAAAGTAAAAGAAAGACATTATTAAAAGTCTGATTTAGAAATTTGATAAAAAGCTTTTAAAGTTTAAAGTTGAATTAGAAATCCAATAAACTATATTTCTATGGGGAGTTGTTCTTCAGGAGGTAAAAGGTACAGGTGGAAACAGTTGAGGGAGGTCAGCACTCTTAACTCATTCTGCTGTCCAAACAATTGACACAGACAGATGAGAAGAAGCATTTAATCAGACATGGTGAAGAACAGCTGCCAGAGGAGGTCTTCTCCAAACATCCTGATTATGCAGTGGTGTTTTTGCTGATTACATGTCATGCACACAGACTTGCTGTTGTTCAAGAGGAAACTTCAGTTCAGTTCTATTCCCCACAATTACATTCAGTTTACTTTTATTTATATACTACCAAATAACAACAAATACCATGTCAAGGCACCTCATATATATATTCCAGTTCAAGCCTATTATAATCTAATTATTATCTTATCATAGTCCCATGAATGCTTACAATTAAGTTGCAAATTAGCTTAAATGAAATCAGAGCCAATTGTAAAAAAAAAAAAAAAAAAAAAAAAAACTTTGCTCAGGCAGGGGTAGGAAAAAGGAAACAACAAGCACCATGAAACCAGACCAGGGATAGTTGCTGATAAAGAGAAACACAAGTTAATGACAGTAATGGTGTCATGAGTACATGGAGTGCAAGAGAGAATATGGGAGAGTGGTCCATCATGGAAGATCTCCCAGCAGTCTAGGCCTACAGTAGCAGAACCATGGAATCTTGCAGTGCTACCTAAGAAGGGAAAAGGGAAGTTTCAAGCCAAGTTTTTATGATAGAGAGGGTGGTTCCACAGACAGTGGCCTTATATCTGAGGGCTCTGCTTCCCAATCTACTTTTAGAAATTCAAGGAACCACAAGCAGACCGGCAGTCTGACAACAGTGCTCTAATGGGGAACATATCCAACTATCAGCTTTTAAAGGTATGGCGTAGCTTAGTCATTCAGAGATTTATACGTGAGGAGGAACAATTGTAATTCTGTTACGACTTGGTTCCAGGAGTCAATGGAGAGAAGCTAAAAGAAGAGAAATGTGATCTCTTCTCCTTGTTCCTTATCAGAACCAGTCATGAAGTAAGTGGTTGAATCCTTCCTTCCCCACACCACGAGTTTGAAGTATCCTAGCCTCAGACATCCTTTGTGTGTGTGAAAGGGTGAATATGACTTGTGGTGTAAAGCACCGTGAGTGTGACCCCCCAACACAAGGAAAATGCTATATATATAAATAGCAATTTAAAGCATGCAAATATTCAATTAGTGTAAATGCACCAGTTGCCCTTATATGTAAGTGTGCCTCAGCATTGAATGGCAGGATAAATATCCTCAAGTATTTTCTATTAGATTTTGAAATACTGTGGGAATAGCAAGGGAGTGTACTGACACCCTCACATAGTACATAAATGCAGTGCATGTAACTACTTTGTAAATAGTAGGTAAAGGCCAACAGGCACTTGACCTTTACCTGCACTGAAATTATACCTAATATCATACTATGATGTCGGGGAACATACTCCTTCGAATTTTGTATCAGGTCCTGCAGGAACACAAATGAGCACAGACCCCTAGCTTTCTGAGTCTCGCCATGGGCTTGTTAAAGGGACATTGTGTTGTATTTTAAGTATTATATTAGCTAAAATAATTTTCTTCATTTATAAATGTGTCCTCATTTGGTGTAAATTACCTCCGCATTGATCTGACTTCTCCTCATAAGCGAAGAATTTCCTCTCTGTATAAACATAGGATGGATAAGTCCACGGAGGTTTCCACATCATTCCGTCATTTAAAAAAATATATAATTGAAGCACTAGTCTACCTGTCTAGCTAATCCACGACGCATTTTCGTTCAGAGCCAGAGCCACGTGACTGAAATGTATTTTGAATTAATTCATTTTTCAATTAATTTGATTAATTACTTTTTTTAATTACAACCGAGAGAAAACTTAATGATGTGGAAGTCATGTTGTGATTTATTTTCTGACGTATGACAGCTACCGTAGTTACAATACCCATTTGAAAACGCGAGGCACTAGAGAGTATGATTTGTTAGAATGCAAAATACAATTACACCGTTAGATAGGAGAAACTCCTACACCATGCCTTTGATAATGCCTTTACATGAACAGGGATCAGGGAGGTTTCTGAGAGAAAGGCCTCCAAAGCTAAAGATACAACAACATAAGTAAGTTGGGCTCTAAAGTCTCCTGAAAACACACTTACATTGACATAGAACATAGTAATTACTTTGAGAGCAAAAGTCAGGTATTACACAACCAAAAGGTCTTTAGGGGAGGTTTGGGTGAATGGGTTTATACATAAAACACATAAAACACCGGACTGTCATAGTCTGGACTGTTTGTTGTCAAAGTCCAAAAGCTAGTCAACACATGGAATGTTAAACATCCAACGGACTCATAGCATTTGGAGACGTCACTGTAGCTGCTTACATATTTGGTGCAGGCCTATAATAAAAAATTAGAAAAACTCACCCTCTTACTGTCACACTTATGCGCATGCAAAAACGCAATAGATGTTGCAAGTCAACTGATAAAAACACCGCCATTGTGCCATCCTGTAGCTCAGTTATATATCTTAACACAGCTTTACCGACATCTGTTACATCTGCTATTGTTACGTACTGCTCCATTTTTTTACATTAAAAAGCATCCACAATCTTTTATTTGTATTATATTCATACTTACAGTTTACTGTTTTGCCGTTTTTTTTTGTTTTTTTTGCACATGAAGCGTATAGTTTATAGTTTATACTTATGCTTTTTCATT